CGATTTTGTGCCACCACCTCATCGTTCGGAAAAATATAGCCGTATTGCTTGCTTCTTCAAAATGTTTACTTTGTTTCTCTGTTTTCTATATGCTTCCCAGTTCTGCCTGGATGTGCATCTTTGGTGGTTCCTATAAAGCGCCTTTTTGTGATTTATCGCTTTGCGACGTTCACCATTCATAAACGGTGCTTTACTTTTTCTCTTAGTTTTCTGTTTGAATGGTATGTGTTTGTCTATGACTTCACCAAGCATCAGTTCATGTGCCCAGTATACGTCATCAAAGACGTGGGCTACATGAAATGGTACTTCGCTTAGTTCTTGTTTTAGAAGTTTGTCGTCAGTTGCTTTGAAACTTCTGTACACTAGCTCTTCCTTTTTAAAACGCTGTACATTCCCTTTAAATACTGTATACACAAGGTAATGCTAATCACTCAGTCCAGTGTCGAAAGACTTGGTGCAGTACAGCTTTTCTGGTCTGTTTGTCACAATAATGTTGACCAATAAGGGTTTACAGTCCTTCATGAAACATGTTGGTTTGTCTACAATGTTATGCATATCAAATGTATTACATATATCAGACATGGGTTTCCCCTTTATTGCATCACACAGGTCAAAGTTCAGATCGCCTATAATGACAACATTCTCATAGTGAATATATGCTTCGTCCAAATGCGTATAACAATCTGAAATAAAAACATTTCCCCGTTTGCTTGGCGGTCTATATACAGACTTTACCAGCCATTTAGCTTTGCCTAATTTTACTTCTACACTAATATCTTCCGAGTGTTCAAATTGTAACTCGGTCCTCTGCCGAGATGGAATGTCAGATCTAATATACATAAGTATTCGACCACCATATCCTGTCCTGTCAGATCTATATAATTTATATCCATCAAATTGGGCGTTGGGAAACGACGCATCCAGCTTGGTTTCCTGAATAGTCGAAATGTCAACTAGGTTATCATACAACATTTCATGTAGCGCTATGTATTTGTATCTGAAACTGTTTATGTTTATGTGCGCCATAATAACGTTCTTGTTGTGTTTCGCTCTCGTCTCTCGGAGTTCACGAAATAGCATATCCTTGTCTCGTGATCTGTTCTCTTTATCGTTTGTTCCGCTATCGCTAATCGACCCGTCGTTTATGTCGGAGACCGAGTCGGTCGTATTGTCAGAGAAGGAGTCACTGAACGGTGGTAGTGTACACTGATCACAATACCAATCGCAATCAGTAGTCAATGTTGTATATTCCGACACACTTGGCATGGTGCCATAGTTCACATGTACCATCACATAGAATGCCAGCTTTGTTTCGCTTCACTGGTTTTCGACACACTCCACACGGATACTTGTACACGGGGCCTGGGTTTACTTGGATGTCACTTGCCATTAATAGGCACAGGGTTGTTAAGTACCGGTTTGTCGATGTGCGTCTTGTTGTTGTCATGGGCCGCCATCTTTGTTTATTTGACAACGATTCGTTGCCATGGGGTATAAGTTCAGACAACGCTAAATTTGCCCTTGAATGTTTGCAATCCATCCATGCACTAGATAAAAGATAATCTCCTGGCATGACCGATTCTCGTAGATCATGCATAGCAGGAGGCAGTAGACGGGTCAGTATGATGATCACGGTTAGCGCTAGCAGCGCACCACACTCACCAGTCGCCATCTTGATGATTTGATGACTTATCAAGATACTTGCTTATTTTCCAACTGCGCCATTTATTTATTGTCTAGTTTATGTACGGCCGGCTACTTTCTACGCATACATCAATGCAGTCTCTCTCCGGTTTCAGAGCGCTGGTAGTATTCGTCGTACAGTACGAACAGTGTTATAGTGTTCAGTGGTACACACGCCCAAAATCCACTGCCTTCCCGGTATAAACCCGGTATGTTTATACTCTTCTTATCATCTCATGTGGCTTCCTGCTATGGCTATAATACTTGGCTTTTTATGGATAGTGATTTCGAAGAAACTATTTAATTTGGACTTTATACCTCTTGCATTTGCATATATACTAAATTCTTGATACATTTTCTTATTTATTTGTGATCTCCTTTTATTTTTAGGTTTTTCCTTGCTTATGGGTATTGCTGAGGGCCTGCCATCCATACTGGCTGCTGAGCTGGGACTGGATTTTCTGGGTTTATCCACTGGTATTGTTGTCTGTCCAGGGGGGAGAGAATTTCTCCTGTAATGCTTGGGTTAAAAACGACACTTGGCGTCTCAACTAATTCATTGCTGTGTTCTCTTTACCTCTATCGCCCTCGTTACATTATCCCTAGCCAGCATTCTGTTCTTTTCCATTGAGTATTCTTCTTCCCTATGGTCAAAGCGACAATTCCTTCCGTAAGGGCATGACTCTCCTCTCTACAAACCAATCTTTCCCGCACCTCTCATCATTTGCCTTCCTTGTGTCGACTCATTTGTCCTCCATTTGTCACTCGGGCCATGGCTAAATTTGCACTTGTACCCAAATTTACACGGGATGCCCTTCTCAAAATTCCAGCATGTTCTTGGGTTGTTGTTCCCAACAAGATCAGTAGTCTGATTGTTTGTAAATGGCGAATGCGATTTACTAAAGTGGAATGAAGCGTGGTTTCTGAAAACAATCTTTTAAGAAGTGAATAACGATTGAAGTGAATATTCACGCACATCACTAGCAAGGTAAAGCCATGTAGAAGGGAACGGTAGGCTTTTTCACCCGCCGATACCGGCGTATGGGCATTAGCAGCGCATGCATTTTGCGTGCGATCTCACGAAATTTCAATGCACCCCGTTCTGTCCCAATAACCCTCACCAAAATATAAAAAAGGTTATCTGGGACAGAATTATTCGGTCTATGCCGGTACGAGCCGGAACGACGCCAGTATCCCCCAATACATGTTTGCTGGGATCCTACGTATTTTGTGCTTTAATTGTTTGCTTTATTTTTAGACACTAAGATCACCCCACCTACTGTGCAGCGAGTGGCTTATTATTCTTTGGCTGAAGAAAGGAGGGCAGCCTGTGCGGTTAAGCTACCTTGGATGGTTGTGGAAAAACCAAATGTTGTCACCTTCACCTTCATGGACCTTGCCCAGGCTTCACTTCACATCCAGCTGTGTGTCAAAATATACAGTGATCTATCCACCGAGGTGGAAGTGCTAGGTATACCTGCTCCACGCCTCCAGTCATCGGTCGAAAAGATTTCTCTAAAAAAGCTGGAAAGCTTCTATCAGTGTCCTAGGATAAGTGACCCTGAGCTTCAAAATTATGCTGAGCTTCCAACCATCGGAAATACGTATTATCGACGTTGAGCTTACCGTGTGTTTGAAAGAGCTGGAATATAAGAATGTATGTATATATGTATCTATGTATAGAAAATACTATTATGGTTATGGTACTAGATTATCCCAACTTATGGAATGTATGAGGAATATGTTAAAATGTTAACAGCTTGTACATAATCGAACATGTTTAACCTCTTACTCTGAAACTTTGTAGAGATGTGCTTACACCTTGTTTTGCTATTGGGACTTAACTGTTTGCATTATCAAGGCTTTCGATCAGAGCTCGCATTTCTTCAGGGTGTCCCTTGTCTTTCATCATGTTGCTCAAGACATTGCTTACAAGAGGACCACTCAGCTAAATATATAAAGTATGTAGAAGTGTAAATATGTAGAAGTTTCACCTAGATGTAAATATAGACGTTTATTTTAAGGAAGGTATTATTTTCCCGACAATTGTGTACAGAGTGATGAAAAATGGCATTGCGCGCACGACCGTCGGGTACCGAGTGATGAAAATCAATCATAATAATCAAGAATAAAGAATCACTAGGTTTCTTTCTCTTTGCAGTTTGCACTTTTGGCTTTCGTTCAGATTCATTTGGCAAACCAGATGCTGACCGAGTTGCACCTTTTGGACGGCCTCGAGTTTTTGCCTTTATTGGGAGATGCATATTGGGTCGTTCTTTCAACACTTGTGAAAAACTACTGGATGGAATGCATGATGGCACAAGTGATTTGACAGTGTTGAAGTTATTATTCATATCTGGCACTGAAGAAATAAGTTTCAAAGCAGGCAGCTCTGATGGTGCAAGATTCAGTCCGTGAGAAATGGACTGCGGTTGAAAATTAGCAGCAGTCTTTTGAGCAAAGCTTAAATGGTATGATTTCTGATCTCCATCAAATACATGTGCATGTTGTATGCTTCCTGTGGACACATTGGTAAGATCAATGGGTTCATCTTTCATTCCTTCAAAGCACTGCTCTGGTACATCAAGGGGTTCAACTTGATATTTTTTGGTTGGTTTATCAAGGTTGTCAATGTCTGGTACATGTATTCCTGAAGATACTTCACAAATAGGTGTCAGTGAAACAGGATCAGATTTTGGCTCATCAACTCGACTTGTCAGCTTTGCAGACTGTCCGTCCTTTGCTGCGAGGAGACTTCCTTCTTTAACCTCATTGACAATATTTAACTCTTGGCCACTTGTAATGACATCCTTTATCCTTTTCATTTCTGACATATACTGGTCAAACACAGTCTGGCCATGATCTGCCATGGCACTAGCTACATCTCGACACAGCTGAAATGCCTTGGTGTACTTTTCACATCTGTTGAGGATACGATTGCTTTTCAACTTAGTCATAACTGTCACATGATTCTTCTTCAACTCCTCTGCATCGCCAGTGCCACTGCTGCCTGCTACAAAGAACTGGTAATCCTTCTTCCATCGATTTGCCACTAAAACCTCATCAAAAAGCTGGATAGATGAATCACATGACTGAGACCTAGCAAAGAATATGTGCTTGCAGGGTAACATCATAGTAGATGAAAATGTACAGGAACAAGAATCCATGGTGTTATTTACTATACACAAACTATCACCTTTTGTCACATGGCGGATAGAGTAGCCCTCAGGAACTTTCTCGCAGGCATATTGACCCAAGAGGGGTTTCTTCAGTAATGAGTTGGTCACTAATTTAGCAGCATATGGCGTACATTTCTCATAAATATGTTTTGAGGTTTCAGTATCCTTGGTGGAACAGTATGAGATGGCAGAGTGCGACAAGAAGGCTATCAAGTTCCTTCTGCCTACTAAAACGAACCAAAACTTCCACGCATTTAGCCAATGAGTTGGAGGACTTCATGGTGGCTTTGAGTTTCTGATGAAATGACTCCAGCCTGTTTGTTGTTCGGTTGCCCATCGTTATGCATTGTTTTCTCCAAGCTGACACCCACATGTGCCGACAATTATGCCAGTTTTTTGTGTAATACTGTAAGAACTGACTTGTGGCAAGTCCTTTCAATTGTTCATAATATTTATTGTACAGCGCTTCAGTACTGGAATATACAATTTTTTCAAGTAATTCGAAGACTTCATTGCTTTTCTTATTTGTTCTCTTGGAAAATGAAGCAGTCTCCTTTTTGAAGGTCTTCATGACGTGGAACAGACAGAGGTGAATTTTTGATTTTGGGAAGAATTTCTTTATGAGTGCAATTTCGGAAAAATCCTTGTCGACTAAGAACACATGGTTTTTCTCAAGCGTTTCCTTATCAACTGATTTCTGCAAAGCAGTGAACCCATGTTCTAAAGTTTCACAGCATTCACCAGCCACGAAGAAATGTGCAACAGGAATGCTGCAGCCATGGCCATCTTCCACAATAAATGTAAAAAGTGGCATCTTAGAGCTATTAGAGCTGTGCGTCGGATCCGACATAAACCAAAAATCCGATCCGACAGCATTTTTGAAAATCCGAATCCGATGGCTATTTTGAATCCGATCCGAATCCGATGGCAATTTTTGAATCCGAATCCGAATCCAATGTGTATCGCTAAATCCGATCCGAAATCCGACCCGAATCCGGAACATAGAAATTGCAAATAGTGTGACAGCATCGTGTAAAATTCGTGTTATAATTTGTTTTCCAACTTTGGGTTGTTGAGATCAAAGGATGGGGTGAAGGCGGACTGTAGACGTAAGTAAAGTTTGAGAACGGGATGATCTGGAATCTGGAACGATAATTTTGTCATCAAATCGTTACCTCAGTTCTACTTTTACCTTAACTCGAGTTAAGGCCCCGTATAGACGCTTAACTCGAGTTAGCGAATACTACATAACTCCACGATAGGCGGCAACACTAGTACGATGTACGTACGCACGCACGCACGCACGCACGTGTACTTTCACACGCACGCACACACTCATGCACGCACGTGTACGTGCACACGCACGCACGCATGTCTACGCCCACATGCATGCACGCACGCACGCACGTGTACCTGCACACGCACGCACGCACGCACGCACGCACAAACGTGTACCTGCACACGCGCGCACGCACG